CGAAATTGACGTGACGAATTTTGGTAGTTTTACTGAGCCCACCTACACCATTAACCGTGATCGTTTCTTCAGGCCCAGTGAGTCCGATCTTGGAGGCAATACTGACGTCGATTAAAGTAGCCGTGCTGCCATCATCGAGTAACGCGAAGGTGTCAATATCACCGGTCGGGCCCGAAACGGTCACTGGTATAACTTTTAAAAGAGTTTGTGAGGGCGCTTTACTTTTCAGACATGTTTCGGTTGTCGATACTATCACCTTCTCGTCTTTACAGTCCGAGAAAGTATCAGTATGAGGTATTGAGATGGAACAAATTTTGGAAGGTGTAGGCAAAGTGACACAATTTTCGTGATCAGTAGTGTTGACTATTTCATTTTGTATAAATTGCCTACCGTGTAAAAGCGGATGGTGGCGAAAAACACATCCGTCAATACCGCATGCATTGACTTTACATGTTTTCCATTGATGAGAGACACGACGTAGACATCGGTAGCATACTTTAGCTTCCCGTTGCCAGCGCCATCTTTCATCAATAGAAAGAAGTTTGAATTGAGGACAACACTTTATGGAGTGATCTTTTTTACAAAAACAGCACTCTTGTATCGAAACTGAACCTTTATTTGGTTTCGTTGATGAAACATGTGTGGCAGTAAGAATATTGAGACGTTTGGTTGACAACGTATGAGGTGTGCTCTGAAACTGCTGGATAACCGGTGATGTAGTAGTAGTTTCAGGCGACAAAGTAAACTTTATGTGTTGATTAAGTTCACGTTTTAGAAAATCAGACAAAATTTCTAATTTAGATCGCTGAGTACTATCTTGTGAGGCGAAATCGGCCCACCTAGATTTTAAAGTATGGGTCAATTTATTTATTACTGCGTAATATAATTCGGGCGAGTGCAAATACTCAAAATGATTGAGCAATCGTATAGTAGCGACGCTGTTTCGAACTCGATTGGCTATAGTATTTAATTCTTTTAAGTCGTTACCTAACCGAGGAAGGTTTTTTAACGAGACTACTTCTCTGTACACAATCAGTTCCGGTCGAGCGAAGTTGTCTTCTAAGACGCGTATGATCTCGTCGGGGTCCTCGCTGCACAATAACACGGACGCTACAACTTCGTAGGCGGCCCCATGGAGAGCGCTTTGAATACGTACTATATTTTCTAAAGGAGTAAACGAAAAATTAGAAGAATAATAAATACGTTTAAATTGGAGCCACTGTAATGGGTCTCCAGAGAATGTTGGAAGCGTGGGAAGCTTAGCCTTTCCTTGATTGGAAGCTAATGCTTTCGCTGCAGCAGCTGTGTCAGCTACGGCTTGCAGTAACACTGAAGATTGTGACACCTGCGGTTGAGTTTCCGAAATGAGTGGTGGGGAAAGGCCTTCCCCCTCGGAAACTTTGGTGTTGAAATTAACTGTCATTGTCCGTCTGTGAGTGTGGTTTGGAATGATAGAGGGTGCAGGGTCCCGAGTGGGCACCAGAGCCGGGGTATGTGGCTCATAGTGACCGGGGAGTGCGATGTTGTCGTCATCGCACCCTTCTGCGGAAAGGTCTCTATTATTATTGCCACTACTAGTGTGAACGTTTACCCATCTTTGTGTTCTTTCTGCGCTTACTGGTATGCTTCGCTTACTGGAACTGCTGGCTACTTCCGCGTCGATGGCTGCCAACTCTGCTTGAAGCTCTCGTTCTTCAACTTGTTTTTGTATTTCGACAAGTTGACGTTTCCGCTGTAGCTCGCGTTCTTCCGCTGCACGTTCGTGTTCGGCAAGCTGTAATTCGCGATCTAGCTGCTGTCGTAAAAGCAAGGCCTCCGCGGCTGTCTTTCTAGCACGAATTGTGGTAGATGATTTTGACGAAGCACTATGTTGAGGAACTGAAACGAGCTTGCTCTTGCTGCGGGTGATTATACCAGTAGGCGATGACATAATGATAGTGTTGAAAATACTAAGATGTTGGTGAAAATGAAGGTGAGAATACTATGATCGACAACTACAATAATGATAATGATACTACGAGAAAATACTAAAATGATAGGTACGTGGAAACTACGGTGGAAGGACCAAAAAATGAAACGGAGAGCTAGTGGAAATGGGACTGTATAATGAAAATGAACGATAATAATGGACAAATAATGGGTTTATTACATAAAATATACAATATAGCTCACTATGACACAACGAGACGATGACAATTATTTTTTATTTTAAACATCAAAGATTATAAAAGAATGACAATTATTTAAAATATATAAAAAATAAATAAAAGTAAAAAGGTCGGCAACAAATACATTATTACAGGTTACAGAAGGTATTAGGTTCATTCGTGGGTCAAGGTATGCAATACTTTAACAAGGTCCCCAGCGATGTATTAGACTTTCCAATAAATTATTTCAAATGTAGTGAAGTCTCTTTCCAATAAGACTTCTCTGTGTGAAATATAACAGAAAAAAGCAGCCGTTGCTGAGGTTATTGCCGGTTCTTCTGAGTATAAGGTCTCCCGCCGTAGTTTTGCGCTAGCGTACTTTTCGACTTTCACAAGTGCTATTTAACAGCCTAGACAGTATAAGAAGCAGACTTAACTAAATTTTGATAATATTTCCAATATTTACAGATATTGTGTGGTAGAGTAAATAAATGTTTTCGAAACATGTAGTTTATATCTAAAATATAATCTGATAGTAATTATTAATTAACTACACGTACAAGTTCAAATACTATCTATTTATTTAAATGCGTGACAAGCCTGGGACATAGCTAACGGCATCGGCACCTTTCCATGACACTACTACGTTTGCCAGGATGTACCTAACTAATTATAAAATGTACAGGTTCGTTGGAATTATTTTAGTCAAATATTTAATTTTATTTAATGTCTTATGCGTGTAGGATCCTGAGACTTAATAAAAGACGGACTTACCATAGGTGTTGTAATAAATAATTTACAGTTCATTGTGAGTTATTTAAATGTGCGGCTGCGTGTCAAAGTGGAGCTGCGGCCAAGTCAAAAATTTAGTGACTGTGGGTCATAAGGCGTCGGCTAGCATCGGTCGGTGCCGCCGTCATTGTCGTCGCTGTCATTTACATTAGAGTAGGACGGCAACAATGTGCATATGTACAAAGTTGGACTAATGTTTAAACTCTAACAGTGCTACTTATAAACAAGGTTTAGCGTCAGAGTAAATTTACGCTAAAATTGAAATTTTAGTATTAGTCCATATTCATATTACACAGATAACAAGCAAATCTGCTTCTAGGAGCAAATATTAGTCCCGTAGAACCTCGTACTAGGTTAACCTTTGTTAAGTCTCTGTTTAATAATATTAATTTTGACCAATACGAAGAGCAGTCTCACCGTAAATTTATTCCAACGCTAAACCTTTTTTATAAGTAGCACTGTAAAGCATTAACTAGTATTAAACCTTGATTGATATTTTACTTTGTTCTCCTTTTCATAAACACTTGGTACTATAACTATAGATTTATAATTCCAACGTCTCTGTGTTATCCATGTCTAATGTCTATGATTACTCTTTGAGTTTTTAATATTGAGTATCTTTGTTTTTTTTGCTTTTCTCTTAGTCGACTTATGTACAATTTCACTTGAAGTCTTACTAAGGGTAGGCTATCTAAAACGAGCGGTAGCTGTATTGAGTTCAATAAAGCATCTTATCTCAATTTCAAGGCATTTACAATATATCAAGATTTCTAAAACAACAGTCTCGAGTCGTATTTAATTATTAATAACTTATTATTTATCTTCCCGATCTTAATTCCAACTATAGTCTTTTTTTACTTTGAGAACCTTTACTTTTCTTTAAATAATGTTATTGAAATCTCAAATTCTGCGTAATTAAGCATATTGTCTCATTAAATATATATCTCATTTCATAATAGTAGTATGAAATAAAATATATATTAAATATCGTAACCGAATATTATTTAATATTCCAGACGCAGGTTTCTGTGCTACCACATGGTAGCACATGTAACAAATAATATGTATTTTTTTACATCTTCCATAATAAAATACGATTATGCCTTAAATCATACAGCTCAATAACAGAATCAAGTATGAGTCACGATGAATACTCATAACATAAGCTTCCGTTGGCAGAATAATTCTCGATAACATTGCCCTTCCGCATTGATTCTGAAGTGATTGATACTTACTTTTGTGAAGCTACCAAGCTTTAATATTGAGAAGTATCCTTTAAATTTCTGATATCACTCCTCCATCAACCTGAGAGGTTCATATCAGCTTCACCACAACTGACAGCTAGGTAATGTTGAGAAGAATTTGTCGATCATCGTGACTTTAATATTTTACTGAACCGAAGCCGTTTAACAAACAGCAAATTATTACCGGTATCTTTTTATTTATAGACCTGAAACTTTTATAATTTTTTTTTTATCAATTTGCAATGCTATCTATAAGTAAAACTATATGAAAGTTAAACTATGGTTATTTGGGAAATAAAGTTAAGAAGTCCTTTCTTAAATGTAAATTGTGTTCTGAAAAGGGAAATAAAATTTTAAACGACCATTTATCACGAAAGTGAATTTATTACAACTGTGACATTGTGACAATTACTCGTATGAATATTTACACGATATGTACATTTTTACAAAGTAGTTAATTAATGGTATACAAATAGTAAACGTTAGAGTCGCTATGCGATTAAAAAAAATTACATTTTAATAAATTCATCGTTACAACCCTAGGCCGAATCAATCGTTACATATTCCCAAATTTGTACAGACAATTCGAATGGCAAATTTTGACTTACACGTATCAATACACTGGTCCACCCCTAACCGCGTAAACTAAGGTATAAAAGTGGACCCGCTAACCGACAAGCTGCATTAGACAGGGCTCATGTTGTCCCATGCAGTTGTCAGGATACACAGTCTTAGTACTCTAGTCGATGGAGACGATGAGGGTTTCCTCCTCTAGAAGGGCTACGAAGGCCTGACGAGTCGGCCGCGAGGCCCGCACTCAGAGGCGTGTATGAGACATACCATTCGAGGCTATGAGGGGAGTTAAAGGAGCCGCTCGTGCCTCTAGTGGCATTGCTTCACTGGCTGCCACAGAGCGCGACGTCAGTGCCGTAGATGCTTCTGAGCGCGAACCTCCGGCTCCTCCCGCCGCTACCGATAGCCGTGACTGCTCTATCGCTCGCGCCTGTGCTCGCGCAGCACCACCCCCTCTTTTCTTTGGTATAACGCTGTTTTCCACGTGTAGTGCCGCATTGACATCTTTCCCAGCAGCACACGTGCATGCTTTCAAGAAACTCTTTTTAAAATTATCCGACAAGAATGCGTAGAGAATGGGATTCATCGCGGAGTTGCTGTAGCTAAAGCAAGCTGCCACCAGAAAAACTGTTATAGTGATACGGCTAGCGCATTCCCTCGGCGGGGAATATATCAATGCTACTTGAAACGCCCAGTAGGGCAGCCAACACAGTACATACACCGCTATCACGGTCAACACCAGTTTTGTTACTTTTCTGTGTGACCGTTTCTTCTCTTTTGATTTATTTTTCGGTCCAACAGTCTTCAATTTACGAATGACAAGGCAGTAAAAGACGAATATAAGAGTTAGCGGCGCTGCAAAACCCAGCGCAAATGAGTAAAGGGTGAAGGACGTCTGACCTTTGCTGAACTCTTGTTCGGGCCACACGATATTACAGGAGAGGCCATTTTCCGTCGGTATGAGTGTTGTGTACATAAAAATTGGCGTCATAACGAGTGCTGAAGCCGTCCAAGCTGCGGCGGATACTACCCTCGATACAAAAGGAGTCCTCAATCTAGGTGCAGCTATGGGGTGGCATACAGCTATATATCTGTCAGCACTCATGATACAAAGGAATATACTGCTGGTGAATTGGTTGATGCCGGTTGAGATCATATAAGCTTTGCACATAAATCGTCCAAATGGCCAAGAACGCAGCGACATAGTGATGATTAAGAAAGGAATGCCAATTAAAAAACATTCGTCAGCAATGGCCAGGTTAACTATATACATGTTGGTGACAGTCTGCATTTTAGAGTAGCGGAGTACAACATAGATGACAAGAGTGTTTCCCAGTAGACCTACGATGCATACGAGCGCGTACAACACTTGTGTGACCACGTATACTACGGGCAGATTGATGTTAGGACAATTCTCAAACGATCCATTGCCATAGGACGAGTTGTAATCATAAGAGAGGTTTCCATACATCTCTACGTCTTCTAGCTCCATTTTGATAGTGAAGTTATATTACTTGAAGATGATCAAGGAGGTGAAAGATGTCAGACATCTAGGTTTACCTGTAACAATATAAAAGTCTACGATAAATCATCAAAAAAGTCTGAAAATAGACTGGTTACAAGAAACTTTAGTACAATTTTACTGTATGCATCTTCAAAATAAAAATAATCATATCTTATAAAAGTTTATTCAATTCCTTTTACTATTATACAAGTAGTAAATATGATCTTTCACCATCAACCAAGCACGTTATTACCAACAAATGTCACAGCTTGACCTTTTCGACATCGACTGTCTAAAGATGGTAAGGGCTTGATGTGACCTAATATCCTACATCAAATATGACCTCTGTTTATAGCATTTAGTTGAAATATTTACTTACATTTTGCACCGGTAAATCATTTTCTGAGCTGTCGATTACAGGCTGTAGGTGATCTGAAACAACAGACATGGACATTTTATTGTTGTTTGTATTTAGGAGAGTTATAAAGTAATTTCACTGGAATTAAATTTGAATTTCGGTCGATTTTTGCTTGTTCTACCTACTAGAAAGTAAGAACTGAAACGTGTCCTTGGTGATATAAATTAAATATTTAATGATATCTCAATTACGGAAATTAATCAAGTTATTTCTGTATTTTTTATAATTTTCGGGAATAATATTATAACATTACGTCTTTCTGTTAGCGAAAGCGGTGAGGAACCATGTATTGGTCTCTTCTACAGTGATATTTACATTTAAACTACGTGCTACCGAAGATTGAATCTTAAACTGGTTTTAATGATTTCTTAGTTATTACTAGAAGTCTTACTCTTTGTTTGAGACATTCTAAAAGTCTTGTAGTATCTATTTGTTTAATGATTAATTATGACTGTCAAATAATCATGTTCAATTTTGACCTAGTAATTAACTTACGCGTCTAATGATGTGATATATCTTAAAATATACCTTATGTTTTACGTATTTCATAGCGCATAATAAAGTATAAAAATAAGACCAAGAAAAAATAAGGAAGCTGATAAAGTTTAAAAAAAGTTCTATGATAAATACGAGAATGCGATTCGGACCGCAGAATGACCGTTTGCTGCGATTCGTTTCATCTACTACGAGAAATATATTCATTCGTATTAAGGTTAAAAAAGTGGTGTCAATGGACGAGAAGGTATTAAAGAGTGTTATTGCAATTGTCTTGTAGGACGTCGTACTGTAGATTGTTTTGCACATGTTATGACGATTGTGTGGTATCTAGGTTGGGCCAGGCAGCCAGGAACCAAAATAACATTAATCCTCAAGCTGCATTTTTGGACGAAGTAGTTCTAAATAATTTTATAAGAAACACTGTTTTTAATTCTATTTTATAATATAGTCTAAGACTGAAAACAACATTATGCGTAATCGATTTTAATATTCCAAGTATACTTTGCTCAAAAAAATAGTAACAAACCAAAGAAATCAAAAATGTTTCGAAAAAAGCACCTTTTTTGGACTATATTACATTAGAATAATACTTTAAAGCTGTGTGAGATGTAAAAATCATAAAATATTACAATACATTTTCAGTTAAATTAATAAATGCCAATAAATAAAACTAGAATTCGCATTTATCTCGAGTTTTGACAGTTGTTATAACCTCAATATATTATTTACAAATTACACTTTTCCCTGGGCTTTAAATGAAAAGATTATTTGTTAAAATTCAATTAAAAGCAAAAACCAATTTAAAATAACACCATTTGTAAGTAGACGTAACCTATAAAAGAAAACGAGTGACAGGTCAATAAATGTACGGAAAGTGGACATGATTCTTTGCTAATTGCGGCACTATAAGAATGCTATCCTGTATTACTATATTATTACCTATAAACTATTTTATTTGAACTTAATTTTTCTGTATCCTTAAGTGTGAAATACGAGAGCAATATGAATTTATTTAGTAAAGAAAACGAGTCTTGGAATTACTATGAAATAAAACCCATAACGTTCTATGTTGCAAGTCCGTAAAATCCCGAGCAATCAAAGCAGCATTAGCCGGCTCGCTGACAGCACCATTGTACGCCCCCCATTACTGAAGGTGGCGTCATCGCAGGAATATTGACTAATGTCTATTTGAAATGCTTTGTTAGAGTATGACTAATGAAGCGTCCGCTGACATGCTCCTATAATCACCCAGCAACTTTGAGACCAACGAAAGGCCGAATGGGTATAATTTTCGATTTTTCATTGAAACCAGTGGAAGCTGAATATTGAAATGAAACCTTGCAAAAAAAGCAGCTATGTTCAATATAAAAAAGATGATAATAATATTAAGAAACCAACTGCCTTGAAGATAAGTGAAAACTTAGATTTATGCAGCAATACATGTCTTAAATATCGGGGTAGTGTGTATTTTTAGTAAAATACCATTTCTAGTGTTTAAGGTGAACTATTATGACCTTTTAAATATTAAATATGATAAAATTTGTTGCTTATTATGTATTTTCTCTGAGATTTTTCGTTAGTTTACAAGATGGCATCGACGGTTGGTATTTTTCAACCGACTTCAAAAAAAATTGCAGTCTCTTGATTACATTTTATGTTTATTTTAGGCTTCCGTACCCAAAGGATAAAACGCGACGCTATTACAAAGACTTCGCTGTCCATCCATACGTCTGTCCGTCTATCATAAGACTGTATCTCATAAATCGTGATTAGACAGTTGAAATTTTCATAGATTTCGTATTTATGTTTCTGTTGTATGAATAAACGGAATAAAAAAAATATTTAAGGGAGCTCTCATATATTTTTTTATACCGTTTATTCATACAAAGTAATTTTTATTAAATTCTTTTAAAGGTAAAAAAATAATAATACTTCGATGAAAATATATACTAAAGCTTTCATTATGTAGTGCCTTATAATATATAGACGCTATTTTGATTAATATCTCACTCAAAGAAAAGCTATTTATTCTATTATAAGGATTTATTTGATTGAATGTGGTAATATATTACGTCGGTCGCACCGAGTCGATCTAATGTACAGCACACCGACCGACGGACGGTTGTGTTTACGTTGTGATGATTTCTGGCCAAACTAGAAATAGTGCAGCGCTCAATACCTCGCCACATACACAAACCATCACTCGGCACGTGTTCATACCAACTGACCATGATTCATTATGCGGTAGCTTTTTTATTTCTATTGACGTCCCAATACAATTATTGATATTAATTAGCTAATTATTACAATTTTGATGTAAGTTTATTTCATGAAAATTTGTGTTATTCATTACACAATTAGGATAGTATGTATTTAAATATAACTAGCTGTATTAAGGCAACTTTTCTCGCTTAAATTATAGTCTTCGTTACCCACAAATGATGAAGCTTCCCGCAGGTGGAAGAATTTTCTGTAGTCTCTCGCCTGTAGGCGCCCTTGGCGTAATAAAATTAAATTTAGAAAATTATCAACTGACAGTTAATTCACAAAAGCAGAAGTAAAATGACCTATAAATATAATTTAATCAGACCAATTTTAGTTACCAGTTAAATGAAAATAGGATTTTGATCTAGGAATATATTTTCATCAAAGCCTTTTAGAGAATTAACTTAATTATCAATTTAATTAGTGCACACTAATGGCTACAGAATTAAAGCTATAAATATAAGAAATTTAATAAATACAATTCATAATTCCTTGAACTTCGATTTTTTAGAATACTAATCGCTTTTAATGAGTTATGTATAAGTTTTGAAATTATCATCTTTTTAAAATGATGCTCCTTTTATCGATCATCATTAGTCACGTTAGTCATACTTTTTGAATTAATTAATATTACAATAATATATTATTTACTGAAACATTACATACGTTTATTTTTTAATAAGTGCCCAATATTCGGACACTGATACAAGGGCTATGATCACGGAGTCACGTGACCCTCACGTGAGCGACCATCAAAATTTAAAATATATATAATTGAAAAATTCTCACTTATTTATATATCTCGTGAATCGACTCATCACTGATCTGAAACAAGCAGAGAGTTTATTTTATTAAAATTTAGCTTTCCATAAATAAAAATTAATTTTAAAATGGTCATTTATATATGTATAACATGGCTCACAGTAGGTCTTAGGTACATGAAATGATATTAAACAAATCATTCCATGCTTTTTTGTAATGAATTTACAAAAATTGTAATTATTAACCGTACATATCAATTTTAAGTTTATATTATTGTATGCAGCATTATCATCGCTGAAGCAAAAGACATAAGGACCGTATCTTGTGGCACTCGGTCTTCTCTGCCTACCCACAATATATACGATATGGATATATAGAATGCTATCAGTATTAAGTCCGCCATTTGTGCCATGCTTGTATTGGTCAAAAAGTTTAATGAATAAATATACATGTATAACTTGATTATTGCATTTTACTTAATCGTGACATTAACATATACAAAAGACTAATAATGAGAAACAAATTAATGAAATTCTCAATTCATTCCACAAAAGTAATCGACAAATATACCTACTTAATTATATAATACCTTTTAAATATATTACCTTCATAATTATTACTATTATACCAAATATAATAAGCCACAGTTCGGGTTATCAATGTGATCAAACAAATATAACATTTTGTTTAATTATTTCCTGAAGTTTAATTGCTAGTTTGCACGAAGCCTAATTTTAATGTCGGCGAGTATATTCTTCCACATTTGTGTACCCAAACAGGCATGAGGTTATTAACACCTCATATATCTATAGCTCTCTATTATTTTATTAAATACTAATTATTTAAAAACAAACTCGATTACACGGACAGCCGATAAAAACCAATTTCATAATTTTCCAATTAATAGTCGTCACTGTGTTACTGATACAGTGTGTCCACACGTGCCTGTGTTAAGGTTCACTACTCAATATATTAGTAAAACCGAATGTGGAAACATTTAATTAGAAAAGGACTTATTCAGAGTGGCGGCCAAAATATATAACAG